CGGGCAGCGCGCCTTGCCGGGCGGCGGCGGAGGCTCGCCAGGCGGAGGGCCAGCGGGTGCCATGCCGTAGCCACCGCCGAAGCTGCCGCCGCCGCCGAAGCTGCCGCCGCCGCCAAAGCTGCCGTTCATGCCGCCCGGCTGGGGCGGTCTGGCGGCGGGGCGCGACGGGTCGTTGTACGCGCCCGTCACCTGCACGGGGGAGAACGGCGAGAGGGGGGGTGGGGGGGAGAGGGGGGGAGGGGAGAGAGGGGAAGGGGGGAGGGAGGGGGTGACGGGGAGGGGTGGGGGGGGGGGGGGTTCCAGGGGGGGTACCTGGGTGGAGGCGGGGAAAAAGGGGGCGAGGCTTGGACAGCCACCTCCACGGCGTGCGTCTTGCCCTTTGCCGGATCAAACTCCGTCCGGAAGCAGACGCGTGCGTTGGGGCGGAGCGCGTTGCCGTCGAGCAGCTGCTTGCTGTGCGCAAAGACGTCCTCGCCGCCTCCGTCCGGGAGCAGGAACCCGAACCCCTTCTCGAGGTTGAAGTTCTTCACGGTGCCCATCATCTTGCCCGGAGGCGGCGGCGGCTCGTCAGGCGGGCGGAACGCGGCGGCAGCGCCCATGCCGCCCATGCCGCCCATGCCGCCCATGCCGCCCATGCCGCCCGCGCCGCCCATGCCGCCCGCGCCGCCGACGGGCGGCCCGAGGTCTTGTCCAGCGCCCACAAAGCCGCTGTCTGCAAGCCCGGCGGCAGCACCGACAGCCATCCCGATGCCCTTCGACTTTGCCAGCTCCATCGCAGCCCGTATGCCCGCGGCGCGTTCCTCCTGTGTCATCTCGCCAAACGCGCTGCGGCGGCGCGGCGGCGAGCGAGAGCGCGAGCGAGATCGCGAGCGGCCGCGATCACCGCGGTCACCGCGGCTTCGGCTGCGGCTGCGGTCGCGGCGCCCCGAGGACATGCTCGTGAAGTCACCGCGGTCGGCGGTCTGGTAGTTTCCGACGCCGTAGCCCATGGCGCACAGTTGGGTGCACGAGAGAAGTGCAGTAGCGTGGAGAGGGCGGCGATGCGCCCAGCTAGTGGAGGCGATGCGGACAGCGATGTGAGTGGGGGCCCGGGTGCGCAGTATGAACAGGAGCGAGTTCGCGCTGCGCTAGGCTCAGACGGCGAGGAGTTCGCGCTGTGCGCGGCCTGACAGCTGACTCTCTTGCGGGCGGCCTTGCGGGCGGCCTGACTCTCTCTAGTGTCTTGCGGAGATTTTATCTCTCGCTCGCGACTCGACTCTCGGCTGCGCTTTCGACTGTGATGTGGGGTGACTGAAGAAAATACGCGAGCCGCATCCGGATAAGAGAGAAAAGCGCGTCAAGAATTCAATGTGCCTTCCCTATCACCCCACTCCCGACTCTTGTTTGTGTCACACCACGCGGAACGCATCTCCATCGCTTCGTTCGGTGAAGGGGGTGAACCGCGCCATCCTCGATCGCCGTGCAAAAGCTCGCTTCCGAGCTCTCACGCCGCGCGTAGGGCCCTTAGGGGCCTAGAGAACACCCCCCCCCCCCTCTCCCCTTTCTCCCCACCCATTAAGCTAAAAGTACGTACACTGAGAACGTACGTACGTGGCTCGGGTGTAGGTATATCGTGGCTCGGTATATCGTGGCTCGGGTTACACCCTGCTCGTTCTCAGGGTGGCACATTCCTGTTCACACCCACACACGGGGTAATCACCTCCCGCTCCCCCATGAATGTGAATCGCCGAACTTGAACGGCGGGCGCTTGACGAACCAGGGGGGAACGGGCGTGGCAACCACAACCACGTCGGGCGTGGTTGTGGCAACTCATGATCGAACCAGCGACTCATAGAGTCGAACCACGACTCATAGAGTCGAACGTAACCACGGCGGACGTGGTAGTGGCAACCACGGCGGACGTGGTTGTGGTCGGTCATGATAAAACCGGAAAGGAATAACAAAAGCCACCCCCACGACTGAAAAGTCTTAATGGACCTGTCCTAGACTCTGTGGCTGAAGTAGCGTGTGCGTCGAAGCCACAAGAGGGCTGGCGTCGTCCGGAGTTCCTTGAGAGGGGGGTTGGCGTATTTTAGTTTCCTTGAACGGTTGATGAGACTGTGAAACGATCGCCGCAAGGGGCGTGAACGCACAAGTGCGTAATGACCGCAAGTGGTCGTGAACACCCCAAGGGGTGTGAAAGTAAATACTCCACTTATTTACAGATACCATACCAGCAAAGTACCCGAATCCAACTCCACGTGCCCAAGCGCACACCGGCCGGAGCGCCACCGGGGGGTGCCGCCCTCCCGTTCATGAGCCCAACAACACGAACGCTATCCATCCTCACCGGCCCCCATCCCCGTGGTCGGCCTCGCTCGCCGCGCCAAGCCGCGGCCCGGTCGTCCGCCCGGCGGCCAAGCCCAAGGGCGGGGAGGGGGCCACCCGCGCTCGCGCAGCGTGGTAGCGGCGGATGCGTCCTGATCGACGCGTTTCAATACGCCATTACCGGTTGCCGAACCGGTGTCATCGCCTACAATTGGGCGATATCCCACAAATCGTGGAACAAGTACATGCACGCCTTGCATGGCAACACTGTTGGCACGCGGAGCACTGCAGCACGCGATGCCGAAACACACCCGGCGCAAGAGCCGCACCAGGCGCAAGAGCCACAACAGGCGCAAGAGCCGCACCCGGCGCAAGAGCCACAACAGGCGCAAGAGCCACCACCGGTGCAAGAGCCGCACCTGGCGCAAGAGCCAGAACCGCAGGCGCAAGAGCCACCACCGGCGCAAGAGCCACTTCAGGCGCAAGGGCCATCACAGGCGCAACAACTGCCAACACTGGATCGGGACCAGCCGCCAACCCAGGATCGAGACCGAGAGTCACAGCCGCAAGAGGCACCCCAGGCGCAAGAGCCCCCACAGCTAGCGCTGCCGCCGCCCGAGCTGAAAGGGAGGCGATGATTGCTGCCTTCGCCACCGCCAGTCGCACGGGCCATGAAGAGGCGATGACCGATTTCGCAACGGCCCTGCGCAATGCCCTCTCTAATGAGGGTGGAGCCACACGGGGCTCACTCTCAGCCAAGGTCACGCGCACGTACGACGCGGACATCCCAAAGCTCGAGGGAAAGAACATCACCCCGCAAATGATGGCGGAGTGGTTGGCGCGCTTCACGGCTTGGGCCAAGATAGAGGGTATCTCCGAGTACACCCTCGGCCCAGCACCGCCGGCTCCGACAAGCGTAAAGGAGCTCCAAACGCACAAGTCGAACCTCCAAGAGGGACTCAAGTACATCTGCGCGGCGATCGCCGACCCTGACCTCAAGCAATCGTTAGCTAAGCGCGCCGGCAACAGCGGTGTGCATGCGATGGAGATTCTGAAGGCGGACTTCATGGGCGGCCAACAAGTCCAGCCCATCCTACGGCAGATGCTGCGCGACATGCGCCTACAGGCGGAGCAGAGCCCGCAGGTGTTCAAAAACAACTGGCTCTCTCGCGTCGACGACCTCGACCCAAAGCCGTCGGCGGCGGAGCTCTATGACAACTTTGTCTTCTCGGTCAACGCTGAGACCGAGGGCATGTATGAGTCGTGCATCAGCGGTGTTGGCATATTGCTCGGAAAGCCGACAGATGACTACAAACAGCACGTCGACAAGCTGGCCGAGAACATGCAAGATTCGCTGACGCGGGAGACAAAACTCCAGTCGACGAAAGTTCAACACGCGCGGTTGTTGTATACTGCACCCGAGAGGCGGGCTGACAAGCCAATGAGGGGCCCAGAGAAACCTCGTGATCGGCAGGGGCGCGACGACGGGGACAGACGCCAAGAGCGAGACAAGCCTCCCCCGGGATCCTCCAAACCCACCGCAACGTGGGACTCGGGCCTGCAGGGCCGTTGCTCCCGTTGCGACGGTAACCACAACAGGAGCGAGTGCACTGAGCCGGTCACGCGGTGCCCGTACCGCTTCCCAAACGGTGAGGTCTGTGGCAAGGACCACCACATCAAGCACTGCTGGTACAAGAACCCGAAGCTGTGCTACAGCAAGAAGATCCGGGATGAGATCCTGGAAAAGATCGCCGACTCAGCTTCCAAAGCAAATGAGGAGCAAGATGACGGTGTTGTTCAGCACTACCTCGCCACGGCCGAGGACGAATACTACGAGGGTGAATCTGCAGATGGCATTGAAGAGGCATAGGACAATTTGCCTGCCGCCCCTGCAAATTGCCAACGGACAGGCGCTGGGACTCTCCTCTCACGCATGAATAGACAAGACGCCCATCCCGTAGAGAGATGGTGAGCAGACGGAGGTTGCGTCGCCGTACTCATTCAGCATGACACCATAGCTTACCAGCACCTTGCATGTGTGGGGGGAGAAGTTTGCCTCACCTTACCTTAGGGCATGCCCAAGCTCGAGTACCGCTCGATCCGCTTCGAGGAGGTCTGGGTGCCCGAGCCCGAGGAGGGCTACTTCCAGGAGGCGATGGTGGTCAACTACCCGTCCGCCGACGTGCCGTACACGCGCATCGTCGAGTACAAGCACGTGCCCAACCAGCCCGAGGCGGTCAAGAACGGGGAGGTCAAGGGGACGCTCATCGCGAGGGAGTACTCGTCCGCCGAGGGCGACCCGTACTACCCGGTGCCCAACCCGGAGAACCGCGCGCTGTACGAGCGCTACCGCGCGCTGGCCGAGGCGGAGGACCACGTCTGCTTCGTCGGCCGGCTCGCCTCGTACAAGTACTTCAACATGGACCAGGCCATCCTCAACGCGCTCGAGATCTACGACAACTACAAGGAGCAAGGCAAGTTCGCCCCAAAGCGGCGCCCCGAGGAGTTTGGCCCCGGAGATGGTCCCAAGTGACCCTCCACATTCTATCTTCGGTTTGCCTCTGTTAGTGCCAGCACGCACCAGTCCGCACCTGAGTCCGTCGGCGAGCCTGTCTGCTGTGAAAGAGGGAGGAGGGAGTTAACTAACAGTTAAGAGTTATGCTTTTTAAATACTTAAATTCTATCTTCGTCCGAAACAGATTGTTTGAAAAACACTCCGAGCGCAACAGCAGGGGCTCGCGGCGAGGCGTTGTGCCTGTGCAGGCTGTGGCTGGCCGGCCGCGGGGAGCGAGGTGAACAGTCCGATCTCCCAGTGGGGCTGCACTCTCTCCCAGCACACCCCAAAAAGTGAGTCAGGGAGTGAGTAGGTAGGTAGGTAGAAAGGTGAAGAACAGCCAGGCTAGTGAGTAAGTCTCACGGAGTCTCTAAATAAAAGAGAGAGAATTCTTGATACGAAACCACGACGACACACACCAGTCGACTCGCATCGGTTGCCTCCATGAACGGCGGAGCTATTCTCGCGCCCACACCACACCTGGCTCCAACGTGGACACGCCCATAGCTGGGGACACTACTAGGTCACGCATGGCATCACAGAAGTTTTATCTCTGGGCCCCGAAAGGCATCTCTAGCAGTGTCGTTACACATGCCCCCTCCCCTCCTGGGCGCATGCGCCTCACGTCTCGCCAGAGCATAAGCCCTTGGCGTGTGGCGAGACGAGTTTTTCGCCATCGCAGCGAGCAGCAAGCCGCCCGCCGCAAACAGCCGGAGGCCTCGCCACGGCACTGGCTGCGCCGCGGTCCCGCACCCGTCGACGCAGCTCCCCCCGCGGAAGACCGCGCGTAGCGACGCTCTCTCTCTCTCTCTCTCTCTCTCTCTCTCTCTCTCTCTCTCTCTAAATAAAAGAATTCTTAAGATACAAGCCTCTCTCAAATAAAAGAAAATCAGGCCGCGCAATGATTGAGCACAGATCGGGCAGCTTGGAGAGCAGCTGCGCAGCTGCAGCAGCCAGCGAAAAGGCGCCCACGGACGCCAGCCCCAGCACAGCTGCTGCAGCAGCCAGCGAAAACGCGCCCACGGACGCCAAAACCCAGCAAAAATATGATGATGCCTCCTTTCCCGCCATCGCCGCCAGCGACGCTGCCGTCTCCTCCTCCTTTGACGGCGCCGCAAGCGTTGCTCATCGCCGATGGATTGACGTGGGCCGCCTTGCTTGCCGGCGCGATCGTGCTGACTGCTGCTGTCGGGCTGATGTTCACGGACGGGCGCATCGGAGTCTACTGTCATAGCCGTCGCTTGCTGCTCGGGCGGATGCTGCGTGCCTTCGCAGTCGTCTGCCTCGCGAGCGCGTGCTTGCCTTACTATGCCGAGGCGCGCTTCTCTGTTTTCGATAGCTCTGAGATCGCGGGCACCAACAACCCGTTCGTCCGGTTGTGGAATCACGCGCCGGCGAAGCACGCTCTCCACTTTGGCCTCTGGGTCTACATCACCTTCGCCTTCGCCTCCGCGGGGGTCGCCCTCGCCGCCGCCGAGCTGCTCGACAGGCGGCAGTCAGGCGCGGCAGCCGGTGGCCAGAGCCTCCGGCGCCTCCGCTGGCATCTCAACAACAGCAAGGGGTCGCTCGCCCTCGCGTTCGTCTTGCTGTACTCGTCCGCCATCGTCGTGACCAAGTCGTGCGACTGGCTCGGCCGGCGCTACCACTGGGGAGCGGGCTGGGATGTGCAGGAGCACGGCTACACTTTCGCGTTGAAGATCTTTGACGACAGCGTCTTTTATGCCGCCTATGGAGGGCTGGTGCCGATGACGCTGCTCGGCATACCGCTGGGCCGGACCTCCGCCATGTGGCGCGCAGCGGGCCGATCGTACGAGGACGCCATCGCCTTCCATCGCGCACTCGGCCACTTCATGATGGCCATGTACACGTACCACGGCGTCGGATACATGGTGTACTGGATGATCCGCGGCATCGAGATCTTCGCGCGCGAGATGTCCGATTGGTTCCACTGCGGCAAGTGCACGCACATCAATAATCTCGCCGGCGTGATCTCGTGGGCGGCGGGCTTCCTGCTGTGGATGACCTCGCTCAAGTGGGCGCGCCGGAAGAACTACGCCCTCTTCTTCACCACCCACCAGCTCCATCTCGTCTTCTTCGGGTTCGGTTGCATCCACTGGCCCACGCTCCTCGCGTACGCCACGCCGTCGATTGTCTTCTACGCGGCCGACCTCATGCTACGCAGGCACAACTCGCGGCAGGGCGTCGCGGCGATCGCGCGCGTGCGCCCCTCGCTGGCGTCGCCGGCGCTCACAACGCTTGTCATCGCACGCTCTGGAGACGCCCCGACGGCGCCGCGGCCGGCAGCGTGTCCGCACGGCGCGCTCGCAACGAGGCGGGGCGGCACGTGCCCGGCGAAGGGAGATCTGGCGCGCGCCGAGACGGAGGACGACGGCGAGGGGTGGAGCGGCGGCTGCTTCTACTTGGCCGTTCCGACCCTCGGCCGATTGCCGTACCTTCAGTGGCACCCGTTCAGCATTGGCGGCTCCGCCGACGGCGGCGCCTCCCTCATCGTGCACGTGAGAAGGTGCGACGGGTGGACGAAGCGGCTCGCGACGCTTGCGGCGGCGGCGCCAGCCACCAGGGGCCATGCAACGGGCAGCCACGGGGGCAGCAGCCTCCACGAGGGCAGCAGCAGGGGGCCTTCGCCCCGCGGCCACGGCCTTCGCCCCGCGATCGACCCAGCGGCTGATGCAGAGGCCGCCGGCGCCGCGGAGGACGGCGGCGACCGCCCAATGTGCGTGAGCGTGATCGGCCCGATGCCGGCGCCGCCTGCTCTGCTCGATTGCGTCTCGGAGGCGCGCTCCGCCGTGCCGCTCCTCCTCCTCGGCGGCGGCTCCGGCATCGTCCCGCTCGTGGCGATCCTCCGCCAGCTCGCCTACGGCGGCCCGCCCTTGCCAGCAAGCGCGCACGTCCACCTCGTGCTCGTCGCCCGCGAGGCGTGCGCGCTCGAGCAGTTGCTCGACGGTCGCTTCCTGCCGAGGGATGCCGAGGGTAGCACGAGCTACGCGTGGCTGCGCACGGAGATCTATCTGACGGCGGGGCAGCCGCAGCCGCCGCCGTCGCCGCCGGACGTCGAGCAGGAGGGCAAGGCACCTGCGACCAGCCTTGCGCCACTGATCGGCCCGTTCCTGGCCGGCGTTGATGACGACGGGCAGATCCGCGCGACGGCCTCACCGTTTGCCTCGCTCGACGGCCGCCACGTCGGGCGGACGGGTGTGCCCATCCAAGTGTACGAGGGCGCCTCGCTTCTCGGCGCGGCGTTGGGCTTCACGATGGCCGCGTGGCTGATGGTCTGGCGCAGCGACGACGCGCCGTGGGCGCGACGAAACGCGCCCACGGCGACGACCGGCGGTGGGGGGTTTCTCCTGGCGTTGGCGGCTGCTTGCGCCTGCGCTGACCTACTCCTGCGCACTTGCGACGGCGTGAGCCTCTCTTCCCACCACTGCCGCGACGGGGTGAGCCGATTGCGCGCGTGGCTGCGCCGCGGCGCCCGGGCGAAGGCGATCATCCGAGCGCGGCCGGTGGAGGTTGTGGGGGGCGGCGGGATGGGGCGACGCTCATACACGGACGGGGTTGCGTTGAGCTGCGCTCCGTCTGTCTCCTTCTCCTCCTCCTCCTCCTTTCCGTCGCCGCCGTCGGAACCATCGGCGAAGAGCGTCACCGTGCCGCTCGCGGGGCGGGCGCGGCCCGACGCTGGCAAGCTGCTGCGCTCGACTCATAGCGGCGCGAGAGTGGCGGTCGGCGGGCCGCCGTCCATGGTGGACGCCCTCGACAAGGCGCTTCGCGAGGCAGGCAGGTCACCGAGCGTGCGCCTTACCACTCAGATGTGAAATGCGCGATCGGAAGCTGCAGTCCTGCCGACGGCAGGGTCGCGTGTTGGTCGCGGTGAGTGACACACAACCGCGCCCCGCCCCTTGCGGCCGGCACGAGAGGCGCCAGAGACACGCTTGATCGTGCGCCCAGACACGTGTCTGAGAGAGAGAGAGAGAGAGAGAGAGAGAGAGAGAGAGAGAGAGAGAGAGAGAGAGAGAGAGAGAGAGAGAGAGAGAGAGAGAGATAGAGAGAACGAGAGTGTCTGCGAGAGACACATGGTCTGAGAGACATACGCAATCAAGACTACACTCACACGTAGTTATAGGGCTCACGTTTATTTATGTACTCACTGCTCCT